TTATGTTTTGGGAGGAAATATAGCTAGCTTCATGCCTTTCTTGGGTTTCGTCTTCTCTTTCCCAGGGATTCGTACTGTGCATATTTTGAACGAGACACTTGAGTTAAGGATTTTGAAACTGTTCTTCTTCACAGCATCGTCTTGGACCCTTTCTCTTTAATGATCTATGGTAACGTTGGCCACATTCACGTTTTGCTGGGCCGTAACAGATGCTGAAAAGCATGAAAACATGCATTTGGCTTGCATTGAAACATGCTTTCATGTAAACATGTAAACGACAAAGCCTGAAGAGGGTGGAAATCAGTTTTATGCACGAGAACAAGCAGTTATGCTATGTGCTTCCTCCTGCATGTCTCACAAGATAGTATATATTACTTACATAACAGTCCTTTTCTTCATTTATTATTGCAGTAGCTGTTGAATACTATAGGGTAGAGATCTGGATTTCTAACCTTTGAGATGCAACCTAAACTCAAGAACCCAAAGCACAAAGCAACCAGGAAAACACAAAAACGTGCAGCTTTGTTATTGTCATTCTCCTGCTACTTGCAGGCAATAGTAGCTGCTTACATATACTATTGCATTTATATCCCTGCTTGCAGTCATCAGCTATGTCCTTTCTTAAATCTTTAGATATGGCTTGTCTTGCAATGAGGTTTTGCTGTGAATAACTGATGAGCTTAGCATGGTTTAGCCTCCACTGAGCGCAGTTCCATAGTGCTTCCTACTAGGACTGAAACTTTGTTATGAATGAAACCGGATAAGATCAAACAAATCAGTGTCTGGAAATGCAGTATGGCAGGGTATATTTGGCACTGAGCCTGGCATAAAATGTGACATCACCCCCCCCTTGAACCTGTAACAGGAGTCGGTTCAGGCTCCCGCGAAGCTTAGTTCAGGACCACATGCAGACGTTATAATCTGGAAGTGAGTGGAGACGGACATCGGGGGAGGAGACGAAGAGGATCAGGACGGGTTGACAGACAGGGGGGCGTGACTACAGTGATCCGGTGCTCGGGGGGCGTGGCGACGGCAAACTAGTCCACGCGGTCCAAAAGGGGGGAATCCGGGGCGCAGTCCAAAGCCCAAAACCGGGGGATCCGACCAAGACGAAACAAACCCAGTTAAAATTCGGAACGGGATCCGGAACAGGGACAGGGACAGGGAACCAGGAGGATAAAACCAGGGTAACGAGGCCAGCTGCTCCGAGCCCTGATCTCAGATGGTCAGGATGCCATGGTGAAGCCTAAGCTGTCGAGTCACTCCTGGACCTGCTGGTAGGCGGGATTCCGAGCGTCCATCTCCCAGCGCTGAGCCAGGAATAGCGAGAGCACCAGGCTTAAATAGTGGGGCAAAACAAGAGGCAGGTGCACATAATCAACTAAAATATGAAAGGGTAGGAGCGCCCTTTATGAGGAGGGATGACGATCGCGACAGAACCTGGATAGTGCTGAATTTTACCATGGCATGAGGGCTAGCCTTTTGGTGTAGGGGAAATACAGTATGTGCTGTCTGGGGACTGGCTCTGTTTGACTCTCTAATCAAAGGTCTCCTCTGTTGTAATGGGATAAAGTTACACGTGTTACATAAAAACATCCATCCATTTTCTAAGCACTCTCCAATTCAGGGACACCAGAGAGTCTGAGCATCTACCAGCAACAGGCACAAGAAAGGATACATTCTGGACAGGATGCTAGTCCACTGCAGGGCACACACAGACACAGACATGCACACCCTCACATCAGGGCCAACTGACAAAAACAGTATGGTATAATTTGTTAGTATGGCCATATGTAAGCTTGTTAATGATTTAACATGAAATTCTTTTCACACTAATTAGATGCTACACAGTTATTGCAAAACACAATGTGATGAAATGTTTTTAGTAATATGTAAACTTGTGATTTTTTTCTTGGCAAGTCCTACAATGTTAGATTTTTTTTCCTCTATTAATTCACTTGGTGGACATTTTCTTTGTTATTTCCAAAGCATATGGAAACTTGTTCTCCGCTGTGCACGAGCATGTGTGTGATGTTTGCAGTATTGCCTCCCATTTCTGTTTATTCTGTGATTGTGCCAAGTCCTGCCTGAACTTCAGAAGTTCGGGCAAAGGTTTTTTTTCCCAAGTGTTTTCACTGGGAGACACTTGCTATGTCTTTGTGGTTATAGGAATCCATCTCTGGATAACCAATCACCTTGATCATACCAGGGAATTCAAGCTGTGGAATCTGCTTTACAGCAGACCTGAAGCTCATATCCCATGACTATAAAAGGGAAAAATAACTTCTGTCAATTGTTGGCACTACTCCAGTCTGTGAAAGACTTTGTAGACCACATCAGTAATAAATAGATGGATTAAAATGCATATAAAATGAGAGGCAATAAACATGTCATCAGCAGACACAAGATGCCTATGATCAATGAGGGTATTGGGACAGGACCGAGAGGAAGCAAATATTTGAGCTATAATTTCGTACCCAGAGCCAAAAGCTGCTAAACGCAATATGAAACAATAACTCAAAGTATTTTTTAGGATTTTTTTTGTTGATTTTCAAAGTGTAACATAGCGCTATAAAAAGCAAATGACTGCAAATGTTTTTGCTTTAATATACTGTACATATTAGAATGCTGCAATAAATAACAAAAGTAGAAAATCAGGAAACATTCAGGAGGGGATTGGTTATGGGTCCTGCTGAGACTCCACTTCTCGGATCACTTCATGATAAATAAATGGGTGAATCTGGGCACTTAAGAAATGTGCTCTAGCCGACAAACACAGCTTTTGTGGCTTTTTTTAAGTTATCTTTTTTTTTCACACTGTTCGTGTCCAGAAATATCTTCAAGTGATATATATTTGGAAGCAAGTTTGGTTCCCAATTTTTCATCTCGGTGGTATGTTTACTAGCCTCTGTTGATGCTTTATTAATAAAATTAACATCATGCTAAGAAAGCCCAAACTTTACTGGTTGGAGATTTGGCTCCTTCACAAGCTTACTCAGACCAGGATTTCCCAAACAGCGCCACACAGGTGCCAAGCACACCTGAGGTCTTGAGATCACAGCTTTCTAACTGCTACCTCCATTTCAGGGTTTGTGGGACAGCCAGAGCCTATCTAGGCATAAACGGGCACAAGACAGGTTACACCCTGTCCACCCCAACACAAACTCACACACACACACACACACCCTCACTCCAGGGCAGCTTTGCCAGAGTCAGTAAACCTTCCAGTATGTTTTTGGAATGTGGGAGCCAACTGGAGCACCCAGAGGAAACCTGCACAAACACGGGGAGAACATACAAACTCCACACAGACAGCACCCCAGGAATTGAACCCAGGGTCCCAGTGCTGCAAGGCAAAAGTACTACCCGCTGTACCACCATGCTTTCCATCACAGCTCCTGTCAATGGCTTATATTCCCGAAGGTACCATGGAGAGTCTGAAACTGCAAATAGCTCTTGCAAGTTGTTCAATTTGGAGAAAGGCACCCGCAGGTTCTGCTTCACTTGTGATAGCTCAAGGGTGTTAACAGTGATCACTAATAAAATTACAAGCAGGCAGATTCCTGGCAAGTCACGCAGGTTGCTCCTACACATCTAGTTAAGATTAAACGGATTGGCTTCAAGTCAGCCCAATCCAAGCCACCTGTGCACCAGTCCTCTGGGAATTCCAGTTGCAAGCAGCGCGATAGAACAGAATCAAAGATGCCATCTTTGGAGTAAACAACATCTCTTGAAGTAAAGGTCTCTGCCAGACAATGCATTGAGGAGGCTCACAGATCTGCATTTTGAGTGGCACCTTGAAAATCCTTTAACTGGAGAGGTTGTTCCTGAGCTCATCTAATCAGCCAGTCAGAGGAGGCGTAGAAAGATCCTGCCTGAGCGAACGCTTCCAAATGACTTCTACAGATCCACAGATTTATGGCCCAGAGGTCTTCACGTTACCTTTCTGCCAATGAAAACACCCCATCCTCAAACATCCATGTGCTGTATTATTTTTCTGTTGAGACGGTGTTACAAAAATCAGATTGCCAGAAAAACAGCTACAACGCAAGAGGTCTTTGTCAGCCGTAGCAGAAGGTTGGTGGTAAAATTAATGTGGAAAAAGAGGCCGCAGGCCTGTTTGCTACCAGCTCTGGTCTTGGTGTTCTTAGCCTCAGAAAATCATGTGCAATCATTCATGTTTCTTTAACCACCTTATTCAGGTGCCAGGGAAACACCAATCCAGCTATATAATGATTTTTCTTATAATTACTCTGCACTACAGGAAACTCCACATTAGTCGGCTTAATACCTTAACTTTCAAAAAAGCAGAACAAGCATATCTTATCTTCTGTCTCATAAAGGAGGCCTGTCTCTGACTGTTGCAGGAGATATGGCATTGGCGTGGGATTTTGTATCAGAAGAAGAATAAGGAAACACAGAAATACAGAAAGGGCTTTTTTCTTTCCTCCAGCATTCCACAGGCGCCTTTTGTTTTGTTGTTAATGGCAGGAAATTACTGAACAACATCCAAAGAGCAGCTGAAACATTCTTTGCACTCCAGTACGTTCCTCAAGTAATACATGCTTTCCATTTCTTATTACTTCTGGTCCACAGTTAAAAATAATGAAACCTTTATGGGATTATTCAGTATTGCTCTGTTCAGGTCACTTCTCCTATTTCCCCTTTGCAGTATCCCATCCCAACTCCTATCCTAACTTAAATCCCCCTCTCTGTCTGCAGACAGTTATAATTGTGTTATTACTGCTCATATGTATACAGGCAGTTTAAGGCTCACCTTGGCAAGTGTGCAAGAGAATTGTTTTTCAGCTGCGGAACTATTATCTGGAAACGGTGTGGCCATAACAAACAAAAGCAGAGGGCCTTCAATGTTTGTCAAGTCTGCATAAAGAGAACGTTTGTGTTCAAAGGCAGCAATCTGGAGGGTGAAATACGAGCACCGGTGTTTTTCAAACTTTTGTGTCCGCTTTTTTATGAGGAAAGAGGATGGAGGGTGGGGGGGCAACTTCTGAGTTGCTACCAAGGCAACAGAGAAACACTCCTTGGGCACAATAGAGGAAGCACAGTGGTGCCTGTAAGCACTGAGACCTAGCAACACCATGAGCAAGGGTTATCAGGCTTACAAGAAAAAGGACATCGATCAGCAAATACGTTTTGAGTATTGATTGGATTTGCGGACATCAGATCTCTTCCCTTTAACAAGATTTCTGTGGAACACAGGTAAGACAAGGTGACTTGACGTTAGTATGCATCGATGGCAGGAAATTGCTCTAGTGTTGTATGTTTTGTCATTATAAGTGGTTAAGTCAGCTTAGTTTTGGTCGGGTTTGTTTGTGTTCCTGTGTTTCTGTGCAATTTCCTGTGAACTTGCGACGAAAACGGGCGATTACTATTTTCCCCCCTGACAAGCCATGTCATGTCATTTCTGGCACAAATAGCTGGCTTTCATTCCTCCGTATAATCTATTCCTTGTCGGTGTAGAGATATGAATTTTTTAACAATGCGCCACTTTTAAAACTAGTGCTTTTTGATTCATGATGCAAAACCCAGTCGGTTGTCTTCAAGAGTCGAATTAGAATCAAACAGGAAATTATGACATACTTATCCCGGAAAGATCTTAATCTTGAATTCATTTTTTTCCCTTAGAGATAGTTCCAAATAAGGGATTTTTTTAGATTTTAAAAGCAAAATATTTTAAAACATGCATCATACAAAATAATTATACCAAATCGCTCTGTTACTATAGTTAGCTGCGTAGTTAAAGCAAAAGCACAGCACTTCATAAATACTGTGGTTTTCAAAGCATGTCCTGTTTAACCTGGGCTGAAAAATCTCATGTCCCCTGAAGCAATTTCTCCAGTCTTGGTCCTAGTTACTCCTAGTCCTAATCCCAATCCTGGTCCTAGTTAGTAATAATTAACTCATGCTAGTATCTGCTGTTGCCAAGTTCTCGGTTACATGGTTGAACCCTGAAATTGTTTGCGGCCCTTAAGAGTTTTTGGAAGTTGCATTTTAACTGTGTTTCAGTAAAAAACAAATAAAAACAAGTTAGCTGTGATACAGGTTTGATTGATTAAAGAGCTCTGCTATGACAAAAGCCCACATGTGTTTAGCTCTCTAGGACCAGAATTGGGAGCCTGTGCCCTAAAGGAATTACTGTACAAACCTTTTGCTCTTCATCATTCACAAAATGGCTTAGCAATAAATAATGCTACTTATTCAGCCCCAGAAAGTGAAATGAATGCTCAGGCCCTTTTGACAGTAATGTAACGTTTGGGGCAGAGTAAGACACTGATATAATTTAAACCAACATATTTAGTCACCATTTTCCTTATTTCCTCCTATAGATTCTCAGAATTCTTTCTTTTTCATGCCTACGCTTGTTCAGATGCCAGTATTACCATTTGAAGAAAGCCATAGTTTCAAATTATTTTAAGTCTTTCATATTCAAGGCTGTCTAATCTGCTACAAATCCAAAACCTACTTCAAGATTTAATGGCGACCATATGCGCTTTCTGGTGCAAAATATAATTCCTACAGTAACGTGTTTTTCAGTTCTCTTATTATTTTTTCCTTTTTAAATTATTTTTGTTGATTTATTTTGTATTTGGGACATATCATGGAAGTTAGATAGAAATATGCAAGTCTCATCCAGTAACATTAACACAGCATGTCATCAAGAGGCGACATCATTCCAAATAATTCACACACATTTTTGTATCCCTCACTGATCCAGAAGAACAACAGACATGCACACAGGCTGGTGTTCAGGCCCTATTGAACCTGCTCTGTCCCATAGGCATTTGGTCAGGATAGGGGGTCTCAAACTATTGTTTGAAAGCCCACTTTCACGAAATCAAAATCAACACGTGCTCTCCTCAAAAAATATGAAGGCAAAATTTAGTCATATATTATCTTCAATACAGCTTCTATTTAAAATAACAATAAAAGGCAGGATGTTAGGTCTAAAATCCTGTGAAGAAGATGTTAAGAGCTTGGGATATACTCTATATTCTGGAATACGAAGTTTGTGCTGATTGTCCCAGGGAGGCTTCCATAGGACGAAACTGTCTTAGCTCAGGCCCAGATCATGATTTTCGTCTGAGCCAAAATGGCTACTGATGAACAAACAATCAAGGCCAGGTGTGTATTGTTAAGGTAAGCATTCTTGAACTTTACAAGGCAGGGCAGCCAAGCTGCAGGGGGTTGGAAGCGAAGAAAGAAAATAAAGGTGTGATAAAAGCTCGATACTGAGAGTTTTGGTTTGTTTAACTGATGAGAGACCTTTTAATTCAGTGCAGTAAAGGATTTAGCATTTTAGATATCCAGATTGAGACTGGAATTGGGTTTTTTTAATTCCTAGTCTAAGACAAAATATCTTCTTTGTAAACTTAATCCTTCAGTGGTAAAAAAGAAAGGGCATTTTTTTAAACTGAGAATGAAAAAGCTACAACCTGACAGAGCTCTTCTACTGTGTGTGCACATTGGTAAACATGTCTAGAAATGTAAGTGATGCATCTCCTGTTCATTCAGACTACCAATGCGATTTCACTTTTCAGTTTCCTCCCAGTGCATGTTCCTGAACTCATGCTACTGTGTTCTTATTCATTGGTTAAAATCATTAACACTTCCTCCAGGTCTTGATCAGAGAGCTGATCAGCCGTGGCTCTTTAAGACCAGAACGATCTATCATGAGAGACCTAAGAATTTCAGTTCTATGGTTCCAATGGCACCATCCATTGTTGAGGGGCTAAGAGCCATTTCAGGTCATTGCAAACAGTTGGCAGTTGCGTTAAGAGCCTCCTCTCCTTTATTTATTGTGGTGCAACACCATTTAAGTCTTTAAACAGAGCCAGAGGGAACAAAACCTGGGTTTCTGTCCTTCTTGCCCAGAACATGTTTTGGAATTTGCTTT